ATGTGATGCTTTTATGCTTCTGCACTGTATGCTTCTATACTACCAATAAACTATTCAAAATAAGTTGCCCCAAACAGTTTTATCAGACAGGGGCAGGAAGGTCATTTATACAGCTATAACTACCAATAAACTATTCTGATTAAGCTGCCCCAAACAACAAACTAGCTTATTATGATAATCTGCAAATTATCATATTATAAGAATAATCTGTTTAGAATAATCTGTTTATCAGAGATTATAAATAATTAACAACTGCCCCAAACAGACCCTTAGTCAAAATATTTCAAATAGCAGCTAGTCAGATAACATGTAAATCGGGCTTGAGTCTCCGCCTCCGGGTTCGAAAGAGCAGGAAAATCCGCCGACTGGGGATGCACAGCGGGAACACCGGTCAGCCGGTGCCGTTCATTTAGGGCAAATAGGCTGCTTCGAGAGTAGTAATGAGAGACGACTTTGAGACTAAAGTGAGTAGGGCAAAGAGATATGAGAAGTGCGAAATATGCGGATAGATTTGAGATATACATACGAGACTAGATCAAGAGAGCATATTGCATCTGTTTTTCGGACGTAGATTGTGTCCGGACATCGGCTACGACATCGGAGGCTGACCCATAAAATTTTATATTTTTACACAAAGCTCCTTCATATCGGGCTTATCCAAGCCCGTTGGGCCACCTACTGAATACCACGCCTAAGGCGAGCTATTACTCTTTCTAATTTGACCATTGATGGGATTTGAGGATTCAGTCAATATAAACATAGTCGGATGCTTGCCAAATTCAGACTTTGGAACTGACTTAAGTACGATATTGAATACTTCAATGTAAGCAAAACCAGTTTATAACTGAAAAATTTTATAATTAGATTAATTACGTCATCCTAAAACTCATATTCAATACAGCAATCATTTGTGTTGAACTAACCCGCTCGTTACTCAACTAGAATGCAGACCGGTCAAGGCCTCGTTCGAAAGCTTTTTAAATTGCTTTCAATTTTAGTGAAGGTGTTTCTTTTTTTTTTTTTTAATTGTTCATTTTTAAGTCCGTATGATTTGAATACTCTCTTAAAATAACTTCTTATAAAATACTGTATAAGAAATTTTTTTATAATTAGATTTCATTTTTTTTTTTTAAGATCATTAGGGGCTTGATTGACACGGTATTTACATTGAAGAAATTTCGATGAAAACCAACGATCCAAAAAACTCAATTAAAACTTACAATCCAGAACACCTTAAGAGGCGTAGGTGAACCGGAACGGAGGAACGGAGCTCCTTGATTGCGATCGGAAAATGGAGAAAAATGACCTTCGGGCAACATTCGCTTGACATTTTATACAATACAACCGAGGCGTATCCGTATCTCAAATGAGGCCTAATTTTACTAATTTCATTTTAAAAGCTGTTTTTTATTTTATACAAATTAAAAAAAAAATGGCTGAACGAAACAAAGCCTCAAGAGATCAGGTACTAAGCGCATGTACGAGGATTAATGAATAATTGACGGTCACGCCTAATTTTATTCACTTAAAAAGTAGAATAATCCTGAAAAACAGCCAAGTACTGTAAAAAGAAAAATAAGTATATAAATGAAGAAGATACAGAAGTAAGAAAAAAAAAGAAGAGTAAAACTCATTTTTTGCTTGCTCGTGGTGAAAGTGTTTTTTCACTTGCTTATAGTAACATTTTTTTATTAATTTGTTATCAAAAGTGTCCACGTGATAAAGTGATAAAAAATCATTACTACAAAAATTAAATAAAATTTCATTTAAAGTTTTTTTTCCTCAATAAAGCTTGTGAGTAAGAATATTAAAAAAATAAATGCATGTTAGTTTTAACGGATAAGTGACAAAAAAACACAATTATAAGTAGTAGAGATGTCTTAGCAACAAGAATATCATAAGTTTTAAGATCACAATAAATAATTTTTCACTGTGAAGGAAAATAAGAGAGAAAAACATTTGAACTAGAGTTATTTGCTCCAACTAATCCCGACAGGGTTATTATAAATAAAGTGATAAACCCTTTTATGCTCATAATGATCAAAGCTTTGCCAAAGATTGTTTTCGATATTCTCCTGAATGTGAATTTTATGAATAAGTTGTAAACAACAAAGGGGAGCAAAATTATTAGCATGTAGAGCTCAATTCCTATTAGAAATTACATCTTTAAGTTTAGTATGCAAGGGATAATTAAACAAAGTAAAAATTATGAGATGGAAATTTTCAAACAACAAAGTACCATCCAATCATAGATTAAAGAAGAAGAAATAGTAGATATTGTAATTTACATAAAAAGAAAGACAATATGTAAAACTCAAAGCTACTGTCAACAAATTTTTCTAAATGGTTGTAACATTAGAAAAATTCTTGTGTCAAAGAGAGTCACAACGCATGTAACGCCAATTTGAAAGATAAGAATTATAATCATGAAGCCTCCACATAAGTTGTCTTGCACATCACATTGATATTATCCAAGTTAGGGATATCGAAGCCACCAAAATCATTAGGAAGATAGGCGGTATTCCAAGCAATGGTATGTAATCTCTTCTCAATCGAGCTATGGTGCAAAAAATTGTTACTTAAAGTAGAGATTTCTTACATAACCTCCACATAAGTTGTCTTGCACATCACATTGATTTTTTTTTTTTTTTTTTTTTTTTTTTTTTTTTTTTTTTTTTTTTTTTTTTTTTTTCGGTATTCCAAGCAATGGTATGTAATCTCTACCGGGTCTTTTTTTTTCTACGAATATATATATATTCGTAAAGAGAGCTCCATATTATAATTTTAGTAAGTTACATATTAAATAAGCATTAAGTTTATCCATAATTTTATGACAATTACTAGCATTTAATGGATACTCCCAAAGAATCCCAAGGTAGCGCTTTATGCATGCTGAAAGCAACTAACAACATAGATTAGTTATTGCAAAGTGCAATCAACAAATTGAAAAAAAATAGTAGATTTGGAAGCATTTACACCAAGATTAGTGATCTTATTAAAGATGTTAAGCATAGAAATTTGGCAAGTCACCTATGCTTAGGGTGCATAGGTATTGATTAAACCAATTAAGGCTTCTTACTATATATCAAATGAGAAGATTTGCTTTCAACTTGGAGCTCATCCCAAAAACTCTCTCGATGTACAACTACTTTCATAGGCTACAACATAGGCAATTACATTGAGCTCATTTGTGTATGTTCTCTTAATAATCCTAGGTGAAACTGGTTAAAATGTTTTGTTATTTAACATGATAAATGATAAATCATTGTCATCTTCTTAGATATTTCTCCTTGATTATTTATCATGGACCATCAAATTCATATATGCTATAATACATACCACTGCTTATAAGGTTGTTGTATGCCATTGAAATACGTCTTCATTTATAATAAACCGACATGTTATTAAAAACCAACAAAGATATTAAACGTGCACTTTCGCACAACCAATGTAAGTACTTCAACATGCAATAATAATTATTAAAAATACTTTCTTATAAGATTAAATTATATGAATTTGCAATATTAGAAATAATAAAAGGCTGAGCTAAATTAAAGTAACAATCTTGTATTAAAAAAATAATTTTAATTTTAGGTCATCGAATAATGATATTACAAGAAATGGCATTTAAACTTTGCTTGTTATATTATTTGAATAAATTGAGGAGTGAAATTACATTGCCCTTGCTCACTTATAAATTATTATTTTTCCTTTTTGTTTGATGCCCATTGTGATGAAATTGCCCTTCTTTTAGAAGCTGCTTTTGGCCCTTAAATAAAATTTAATTATAGTATTTGCTACTTTAAATTTAGCATCAATAAAATTATTCATCCTAAACAAGAACAAATATTACGTGCGGCAACCATACTTTCGGACGATGGTTCAAGCGGGCTGCCGTGCAATACACTGAGTGGTGGCCGCATTCGGATCATTGTCTGGATGTGTGATCTAGGGCTGTCAAATAAGGTCGTTGTTCGCGAATAGCTCGTGTTCGGCTTGTTCGTTAAGTAGACGAGTCGAACACGAACAAATATTTAAAGTTCAAATTATAAACGAGCCGAACACGAATAGCTCTTTGTTCGCTCGTGTTCGGCTCGTTTTAGCTCGAAATAAAAAAAAATTATATAATTATTTATATAATAATATATTACATATATTATTTATATAATAATATATTATATATATTATATCTAAGTTTAAATTGTAACACCTCGTGTGATAATGTCGTGTGATAATGTGGTTACTATCCTTTTTTGCATACATTCGGTCCAGGTTTGAATTCAACACTTTGCATCTATTTTTTTCAATTTAATTTAAACAAGTTAATTTCGAGCCGAACACAAACATGAATATTTAAATCGACCCAAACACGAACACTGTTCAAGAGCCGATTTCAAACGAGAGCAATTTCGAACATGCCGAACACGAGCTAAACCTGAGCTCCTTCAACCTCAGCTCGTTTCCAGCCCTAGTGTGGCCTGCCTCACATAAAACTTTACCCCTAGGAAAAAGAAACAAATTTGGCTTTTGAAAAAAATTACTTCTAATAATAATGCTATCGCACTGAAAATGAACATAAAATTCATTTAATCTTAAAATGACAATTTGACCGAGTTATCTTTATTAGAATAAAAAAATCAATTTTTATTTTTAAATTTCTTTTAAGAATAGCATATTCTATAAATATTCAATGAACTTATACGTCATAATTTTTTTTCAAAATAAATAAACAAATATAAATCTTCATCACGCTTTTTCGATGACAATATCATCATATCATAACCTCTCTTTTTTTCCCTGATGCCACAAAAAATTCCTTTTGAAATTTCTCGAACTAGTTATTGTCCGCGACTCGGTAAGCTCTGGTACCTTTAACCAGACTAGGCGCGTTCTTCTTGTTGAAATTTAAGAGTTGAAGCCGTCTTTATGGATAGCCTGAATCAGTAACTGTTCGTTATTAAATATCAGAAAAGTCCAATTTTATATGCTAATATCACTCTTTAAATACCTCAAGTTCTTACTTCCAAGCAAATCAAACTAAGAACCTCTCTCTCTCTCTCCTGCATCAAATAAGTTAATCATGGCCTGCAACTTTGTCCCTCGTTACTTTCTCCTCTTTTCAGTAGCACTAATTTTAATGACAAATCTCATAGCCCATGCCAACACCACCCAGCTTGATAAAAAGGTATGTATTTAATTTTAATTCTTGTTTAACCACGCAAGTTTATATCTCTAATTACTGTTTTAATCTTTACTAGCGAAGTTAAAAGAGATTAAAACTTATTTTGCAGGCGTACATCATCTACATGGGGGAGTTAGAAAATAGGGTGTCAGTACAATCACTTCATGAAAATTTGCTGGGCCAAGTAATCACCAGGTAATTAGCATGGGGACATTGAACCGTTTGTTTCAGAGCAACTAATAAATTTAGGCGGTTTTTAGTAGCATATTATTTATAAGATTTTATGTTGAATTTAATTTAAATCCTGATAACTATTAAAAAAAAAAAATTAAATCTAATGCTTCTTTAAATTCAATTTTCTCTCGTTCCATCTGATTCTTCTCAAATTATGAGAGCTGAATAATGCTCTTTGAAAAAAAAAGAAGTGTAAATCCGGATTTAGTAAATCCGAGTGCAAGCTAGATTTATTCTATCATCTTATGTAATCTTTTTCCATTTGATAAATCCAAATTTATCACATTTGATAAATACTATATAACGAAAGTGCAGTCGAACACGGCCTTAGATTAGATTTATCCATTATTGATTCGTGCTAGAAAATTAGTGGTAGTAGAGTAGCGGATTATCTTGTACGAAGATTCAAAACACACTCAGAAAAGAGAAAACAATTAATAATGACATAAAAAGTTTTTACGTTGAAAAATCGGAAAGGAAAAACAACAAGGTCTTGACCCAATTGAAGAGTTCAATTACAAAAAAAAAAAAAAGATTACAGTTCCATCCAAATGTCTCATATAAAACATGAAGTCGGAATTGAGTGATCTTGGGCTCATTGGATTTGTCTTGTCAAGACGCTCGATTTGACTATAGATGACATTCGTTTGAACTTCCAAATGAGTCTAGAAAATTTTCAAAAGTGATTTAATGGCTTGATCTAGACTTGATTTGGTTCAGATTGTACTAATTTTGGTAACATTGAGTTCCTCTTGTTGAGCTAGTCAGTTTGATTGTAATTTTGTTGAAATCAAAATTTTGGATAACTTTTTATATATGCTTGAATATTTCATGCTCAAAAAGTTATATTGAGATTCATGTCATGCCTCGAAATTTTTACTGGATAATTAAAATTTGTTGGAGATATATCAATTAAATATCTAATGTCTGTGTATTTTTTATTATTATTATTTTCGGGACTAAATATCTATTTATTATAAACTACTGCTAATTTTTTTTATCATGCAACTGATGCAGCGACCTTGCATTAGAGCGCCTAATACATAGTTTTGGCAAAAGTTTTAATGGCTTCGCTGCGATGCTATCTGATGAAGAAGCAGACATTTTATCAGGTAAGCCTTATCCTCAATATTCACTAAAACCAATATGATAAATAATTTTCCTTACAAAAATTTTTTTTTTGTTTTCTCTCATTCTATTTATTTATTCTGTCCTAACAGACATGGACGAGGTAGTATCCGTGTTCCCCAGCCAAAAAAGAAAACTCCACACAACAAGATCATGGAGCTTCATGGGCTTCCCGTCGAGCTCTCCTCGCGGACCCTTCGAATCCGATGTAATTGTCGGAATGCTCGACACTGGAATCTGGCCGGAATCTGAAAGCCTTAACGATGCCGGATTCGGCCAGCCACCAAGCAAGTGGGCGGGCACCTGCGACTCCAATCACAATTTCACCTGCAACAAGTAAATTACTAATCATATATACATAGTTACATTAAATGCATTCCGTAACCCTGAAACTAATCATTAATCTAATCATACAGTAAGATTATCGGAGCTCGTTTCTACCATTTGGAAGGCAACATAAGCAAAGGCAATAGCCCTTCTCCTCGAGACACCGAAGGCCATGGGTCCCACACATCATCCACCGTGGCCGGTCGCTTAGTCGCAGATGCCAGCCTCTCCGGGCTTGCTGAAGGCACGGCACGTGGGGGCGTCCCCTCCGCAAGATTGGCAGTCTATAAGGTATGCTGGGACGGTGAGGGCTGCTCGGATGTCGACATACTTGCCGCCTTTGATGATGCAATTGCCGACGGAGTTGATATCATATCTATTTCGATTGGAGGATCTTACCCCAACAACTACTTCTCAAATAGTATAGCCATTGGATCGTTCCATGCGATGAAGAAGGGGATTCTGGTTTCTAGCTCGGCAGGGAACGATGGGCCAGGCAGATTTAGCTTGGAGAACTTTGCTCCGTGGATGATTTCGGTGGCGGCGAGCACCATTGACCGCAAGTTTGTGGTGCAGGTGAAGCTCGGTAATGGTCAAGTTTATAAGGTATTCCAGCTAATTGAGAAGAAAGCATCTGATAACGGATTTAAACCTATATTTATGCAGGATTTAAATTGAACCTGCCACTCAATCATTTTGAAAAAAAATAAATTTTTAGATTCGTTAAATTCGGATTCCGCCGATTTAAATTTTAAAATCTAAATCTATTAAATCCTAGGAATCAATAAATTTAACTTCATGAGTTTAAATTTATGATTACAAGATTCAATAAATCGGTTGTTCCAAATTTAATCTATTCAAGATTTGTCAAACAGCAGCTTAATGATCATCATATTAAAATCAATAGCTAAATTCAAGACAAATTAAATATTTTTGTAATTTTCTTCTTTTGATAAAAGGGAAAGGCGATAAACACTTATGGAAACAATGGTACGATGTACCCGCTCATATATGCCGCCAATGCACCCAACACAACCGCGGGCTTCTCCCAGTCGTCTTCTAGGTAAAATTTTTAGATCACAACCTTACAAGCTAAACATTTTCATGCATTTAACACAAGAATGAATGTAAATATTGAAGTCAAAATAATCACAATGATTTATGTTTACTAAAAATAATATATTTACAACACGATGCTTGCAGATACTGTGGCGAAGGGACATTGGATAGCAAGCTGCCAAAGGGAAAAGTGCTTATTTGTGACGGCATTAGCGACGGGAAGGGGGCCAAGCTAGCCGGTGCCATGGGAGCTATTATGGCAACAAATGATATGAATGATGCAGCCTACGAGTTTCAGCTGCCTGTCTCAGTATTGGGATCCAACGACACTGCTAAAATCCTTCTGTACGCCAACATGACTGAGTAAGTTCTCCAAATTATCTCTTTTCTTTAAGAAAATGTAGGATTTTTATATTCAATCCCTTCATTAATATTCATAAATTTGAGATATTTTATTTTTTCTTTTTTTCCGTAGGGACCCTGTGGCAAGCATTTCGTCAAGTGAAGAGGCGTTTGATGGGGCAGCTCCGTTTCTTTAAGAAAATGTAGGATTTTTATATTCAATCTCTTCATTAATATTCATAAAACTGAGATATTTTATTTTTTTCTTTTTTTTTTAGGGACCCTGTGGCAAGCATTTCATCAAGTGAAGAGGCGTTTGATGGGGCAGCTCCGTACGTAATATCTTTCTCCTCTCGAGGGCCAAATCCCATAACCCCTAATTTACTCAAGGTAACATGCTGTTTATTGTGATAAAGTTTAACGCTCAAGTTTTTCACGCATAGTTTAAAATCAAAGGCTACATGCATGCAAGGCTACCATTTAAGAATCCAAATAAGTGTTATCATTTTTGTTCGTTATTCAATTTTGTAACAAACTTGAGTCTTGAAACCGTCTTGATCAACTTTAAAATTTTATGTATGATCTAGATTTAGTAATTAAAATTTGTTGTGATGGTGACAAAATTGAACTTTTATAGAGCAAAATTAAACACACAAAGACATGTACATATGATCTTCTCCATGTCTATAAAGATTATATTCATCTTTGGAGCTTAGAAATCTTTCACAAAGTTATCCAACTGAGGCGGTGTTTAGTACGCTATCTTTAGGCGGATTTATGAAATGATTTAACATAAATCCACCAAACATTTGGCGCCTCCAAATTCCTGCCGTCGGCTAAATCCAGAAATTTCTCTGGCGTGTCGGTAATCCCTGATTTATTAAATCCAAACTCAAGGTGGATTTAATTTGTTAAATCTTAAAAACAAACGCCAAATATCTGTTATGACTTTAAACGGATATAATTGAAATAATATCAAAAACAAATTTGAATTTAACATTACTAAATTTAATAAAATTGGATTTTTTGAATTTAATAAATCCTACTCAACTTAAATTCAAGATGCAGCCCAACACCCCCAAACACTCTCTCTAAAAGTATTAAAAATTACTTACTAGCTAACGATCATCCATCTGCTAATCTAGTACATCATAAGCACAAAGTAACTTCTACTCCTTATTGATTAGAAATTTGATGAAAAAATTTTCATCCGTAAATCTAACTGTTTATGAGAATTTTAATGTGAATTGCATTTTTGGTACGTACACAGCCTGACTTGGCGGCACCAGGAGTGGACATTTTAGCAGCATGGTCTCCTTTAAATAAAAATAAACCTGGAGTACCCTACAACATAATATCTGGAACGTCCATGGCATGCCCACATGTATCCGGAGCAGCTGCCTACATTAAGTCGTTCAATCCAACTTGGTCTCCAGCTGCAATTAGATCTGCTCTCATGACCACAGGTGCTTCTCTCTTCTATATTGTGAAATGGGATAGTTAAAATTATAACATAAGAGAATTTTTAAACACACATTCATTAGTTCATACTTGATGGCCTCCCTAACCTATTCTTTCTTGCAGCCTATGCCATGAGCTCAACAAAGAACACTGACGCAGAATTTGCCTACGGCTCCGGTCATTTGAACCCCCTCGCAGCTTTGAATCCTGGCCTGGTGTATGATATAGAAGAGATTGACTACATTAAGTTCCTATGCGGTCTAGGCTACACCACAAAAAATCTCAGTCGCATCACAGGAGACTCGAGCAGTTGCACCTCAAAAATAAATGGAACTGTTTTTGATCTGAATTATCCAAGTTTTGCACTTTCTATTACGAAAGGAAAGCCTTTCTCAGCTACATATCATAGGACTGTCACCAATGCAGGAGGCACAAATTCAACTTATGAAGCCAGCGTAATTTCAGGTTCTGGCCTCAAGGTTAACGTTGAGCCATCAATCTTGTCATTTCAAAATTTTTGGGAGAAGAAATCTTTTGTGGTGAAGCTTGAAGGAGAAACCAATAAGACCATGATATCAGCTGCTTTAGTATGGAGTGATGGTGTGCACAAAGTCAGAAGTCCTATTGTTGTTTTCAATATCTCTCCAAATAAATAATTGTTCTGCCGGAAGAAGAAAGGTTCTTACATTTGGAAGCCAATGCAGTTATTTTTTATATTACATAACATATAGGAGAAAGTTGTATGCAATATTAATACTTTTGTGCGAGCACCTTAGTCTTTTTAATCGATAGCAGTGATGCTATTTATGTTTTGAGGAGTTTCATCTTCAAGGGTTCCTATTAGCATTCTTGATTATGAAGGGCTCCATATGAGAAATTCTACTAAAATATTTATTTGGCAAGAAATCTCCTTCAAAAGATAATAAAAGACTTCATTTCACTCTACTAATGATTGCTTTTTACGAGCTCCTAATCAAATTCAACTTCATCTAAATTTGATTATGTTTTGAAGTTCGTTATCTTTTTTTGAGATTCTCTCTCTAACTCAAAGATAGAAGTTTCTTATCGATCATTTTGGAATCCATTTCAAGATATTTTTATTGATCTTTACAGATAAGCCTAAATTTTTTTGCCATCTACAAAGTCCATTATTGTATTTATTTCCTTTTCTACAAATTTTTGATATAACTTCCTCCCCACATAAAATGCATGTGCATACTTCTTAGTTAGGCTTTTCATTCAACATAAGAACTCCCCTTTATGTTAAGATATATTGTATGGTGCAACTTGTTGGATTCTACTCTTCTTAACTTTGACATCCATTGAAGGATCTACTTAGGTGCCCCATTTAATGTATATACTTACATGATGATATTTAACCAAAGAATAAATCTTTACTATAAAGCACAACTTTTGTATTATCGTTAAGCATGTTGAACCTAGCATACAATCCACAAGACATGTCTATGAAACATGGCAATGATGCGAATTAAATGCAATGTTAAATCAAACATAAGGTGATCCAGGAAACAATAAAATTTGCTTAAATGACCTATGATCACAAAATGGGTAACGTGAGCCCATCTAGAATGTCAATATTTACCTAAGGAGGGTCATTCAATGATCAAATAGAGCAAGGATGCTGAAAATGACAGATCACCAGTGCGACACACACAAATTGGACCTTATTTGTCTTATACGTCACTAAAATTTGCTCTAGTCAAAAGAACTACACTACAGTTTGGGGGCAGTGCAACAATCCCAACAAAGCTTGTCTATGGCATTTTCATGACAGTCACCACAAGCGATTGAGAGGTGCATGGAAAATCAAAACTACGGGTGTTAGACACACGTGTTAATCCAATAATGACTAGGGGCCATCGACAATGTACATCTATGTTTAGTGTTTAGTGTTTTTTCGTTTTATAACATTCATATTTTATGGGTTTCTCTCATTTATGAATTTGTACATCATGAAGAAGTTTCCCTTCACATTCTGTAAGATACAAGTTTCAACTTTTTTTACTTGCGCACATTCTTGTAACTACTTCATGCTAGAAATTATCCATTTTTATGTTTTTGATTGTTTGTTTTGAGTTGGATGTTGTTATGATCATTTTGGTGATAAAATTTGTTCAAAATGATCTGAAAAAAATAGGTTTACTTTAATGTCTTTGGGAACAATCAACTTTAACAAATAAAAAATGAGGATTCTTAAAGCTTCCCACAAATGTAATCACATAAGAGTTGTCTGATATGCATGTAAATTTCTCTTTATGAGTTTACCATCCATATTTTTTGTGATTTTTCTTGCTCTTCACAACTTCATGGTATTTATATTTTGGGACATTTACATGCATACATCTCATTTCCTTTAAAATCTAAAACCTGAAGTTTGTTATTGTTTTTTTACAGCTATACCACCAAATTTTCATATCACATAAAAAATACACATTCTAATGCACATGTAAAGTGATATGCAATGTAAAAATTGAAGTTTAGATGTTAGTATATAAATACATAAGAATTGAGTAGTATGTACTTATATCTTACTCATATTTTAATTTTTCTAGTTGAAGCTTTCAATGGACAAGTATGTAATAGCTGAAAATCTTCCTTTTTAGAGGCTTGCTTCATTAGCCAGCTTTTGATCCTTTGATGGAAAATCAATGTAATGCATATTGGGAGGTCTGCGGTGGTAGTAATAATTTGACATTTTAGTCTTGAACAAATAACCAACACATACTCAAATAATAAAATAGAAATAGGAGCAGACACATTGACTTTTTACATGAAAAACCTTGGAAATGAAAAAAATTATGAGGTCCAGCCTAATTAAAATTATTCACTATGAATGATGAGTACACAGATCTAGTCTTCTACTGAACTAGGAAAGATGAAGTTACAAAATTGATCATTATGAATGTGCAATAGTAGTTCATCGATAAAAGCTATTGCATGGCTATAATGAATAAAGTTCTTAGTGGTAGCTACCTGCAAGGGCCATGGTCGATTGCTATGGAGACAATAATCTGTTATGAATGCTTTAGACAATGACTGTAGTGCTATCTAGTTTTATAGGCATAGTTGAAGGCCATGGTAGTGGCTAGCCATGTGAGCCACAAATGGTTGCTTCAGTTGTGCCAGTTGGCTATGAAGATTGTAGTAAAAGCCATATTGGTGAGTTTTGATGTTGTCCGTAGGTTGTAGAAGCCAAGGTTAGGATTTTTGTGAGCCGTGAGCCACATAGGCCATAGTTGGTCGTACAAATCACAATGGTGAGCTGAGATGACGTTTGTAGGCAGCAGAGGCCAAAGACGAGCTATGCGAGCTGTGGAGAATCTAGGTCATAGTTGGCCACTTAGGCCATCGAGGTGAGGTGTGATGATGTTCGTAAACAGTAAGGGTCGAAGTCGGAAGCTGTGTGATTTGTGAGTCACACAGGCTGTAGTTGGTCACACAAGTCATAGCAGTGACCTATAACAACACATGTAGGTCGTAGGAGCTAGATGTAGGAGTTGCACGAGATGTAGACCACATAGGCCATATTTGGTCATGTAAGATAACTTGACAAGCCGTGATAATTTTTGTAGGTTGCAGGGGTAGTAGTTGGGAGCCGCACGAGCCATGGACCATGTAAGTCATAGTTCATTATTTATGTCATAGTGGTGGGTTGCAAGAAGAGAGCTTTAAGACAACAAAAAAATAGGCCTTTATCTCACTAAGTGGGGTGGGCTATATGAATCCTTTTGCTCCTTTGAGTCCTATTGAGTGTCATATTTTATTTAATTCTAATAAATTAATGTGATTTTTATACAATATTCCCAAGTCTTTCTTGGTCCACCTCTGCTTTTCTTAACATAAGACAAATCTAAAACATCTACTCACCTAACCGAATCATTAGATGATCAACGTTTAATAAGACTAAACCATCTAAGATGATTCTATCTAATTGTATCAGCCACTGGAGCTACACTAAACTTTAGTCTCCAATGTATACCTCCATAATTCAAGATTTTCATGAACTCATTCTCTAGTCTTATCCATAAAAAGGAGAGAGCCTTAAGAGGCTGGAAAAAATCACCATCTTTGGGGTACATTGTTACACCAACTTTGGGAGGCATCTTTGCACCATTTGTGGGGTGCATTAATACACTTTCATTGAGGTGTATCGTTGCATCATATTCAGAGTGTGTTGTTATACTTCATCGAGGTGTGTTGTTGCACCATATTTAGAGTGCGTTGTTACACCCTATTTAGAAGGCGTCATTGCACTCTATTTAGGGTATGTTATTATCTGGTGTACTAGACGATGTATTACATCATGGGTGCTTCACTTTTTCATAATATAAGCTAAGATTCTACAATGCAAGTTGTGACTCCACAAGGGGCTTTACTGCAAGGACCAGGTGTCGGTTGATCGTGGTCGGCAATAGAGGGAGGCTGATTGTGGTAGATGGTGGCTAACAAGTGATAGTCAACAACGACTGCAATAGTGGGAGGAATTTATCAGATCTTTAATGCAGAAACAATGCTGAGCTTCAACTTCTACTTCTCTCGGCCCTTCTTTAGGCTCAAGTCTATGTCCCTTTTCACAACTGGGTAGAGCTCTATTTATAAAGTTCAAATTACAAATAAGGAAGGAATTCATATTACTTTGATTGATTATTAGATTTTTTTTTAAAAAAAGTATGATGATTTCATCCTTTATCAATGTTTCTTTTGTTCGTTTAATCTATTGTGAGATATGTTTGATGTTGAGTGTTATGATCTCTATTTATAAGAGTGAAAATTTTGATTAGATTTCAATCTATACTTTTTATTTTTTGTACAACTTTGTGACTGCTTTGTGGTTGATTTTTTAGCTATTAATTGACGGTTGAACTAATCAGTCGCAAGTTTTGACGTTATTATGTGGTTAACTAGTTATGTTTGCAAGGTATCCTATGACCATCAAATCAGCCGCAAATCCACCATAAATTACTGGGGCATAAATTTATCATAAATTCAAATGTTACTTGTATGACTGATCATTTCTCTCAGAAAGCATCTTATGACTACCAAAATTCTACAGAAATTAGCAGTTAAAAGTAACAACATAAATTTTCACACGTATATTTATTACAACCTAGGTTTAATGATTGAATTGTTTCTAATAAATTTTAGCCAGTAATTCTTTTTACCGACAGAAATTCAACTTATTACAGGCTGATTTGTCAGTCATTATCTCCTTTTCCTACAATATAAATATTAAAAGATAAATACAAAGTTAATTTATATTCATTTTTCGTAATTACTTAAAGCTTGAGTAAAGTTTGTATGGTAAACATTGGCGCATGACCTTAAATTTTAATCTAAGAGTTTGTTGCTAGAGGGTTTCAATAGAAAGTTAAATTCTATCTGGTGAACATTGGGGCATGACACTTGTGTATGCTTCCAAAAGGTCCCAACAGAAAAAATAAATTATGTATGGTGAATATATAGGTATGATCCTTTTAGATCTCAATCTAAAAATTTGTCATCGAAAGGTCCCAATAGAAAGGCAAATTTTATATAGTAAACTTTAGGGTATGACCAAGGTTTTAGAAATAAGCTTTGCAAGTTGTGTATCAAGGTGTAATATTGGAGTTTCAAGTCTAAGTATTGACCATCAAAAGGTCAAAACAGAAAGACATAATCTTGAAGTCTACTGTCTCATGAAAATTTTATGTTGACAAGTTGAAGTATATAACTTATAATATTCAACTTCAAAGAAGTCAATGAAAACATGTATATTAAAATTTGAATTGGAAGAAGATGTTTGTACTATTTTATCATGATGGTTGACACCTAGATGTTTTTTTTTTGATTCTCTATAGACTTGAATACTCTCTTGAAGAATCTCATTATGCTTCACCACTACCCAACTCAATAATTTAGAGGTTTTCATAATTGGCGTTGAGACCATTACTATAGCTATTTACATTCATCAAGGAAGAATCATTTTGTTAAAGTAACTATAAGTAGTGAATTTTAGCATGTACATCAAGGAAAATTAGAGAAAGAGGAACATTGATCTGGAAGTTTAGAAAGGAACAATTATTACTCAAGCAACTCAGTCTTCAACAAGCTCTAGTTGTAGAAGTGAGTATTTATATTTGTAACCAATTTGGAAGTATAAAATGGGTTTAGAAAGAATAGCTTTACTGGTGATAATAAACATATTTTTGGCCTCAAAGTCTTTAAATCTCTATTATTGAGAAGAAAACACCTAAAACTTTATCTATTAGAGTGCATACTGTCTTGAAATTTGCTAGCAAAGTGACTCAATATTGGAGATGCTCTTCATTGAAGTATTTGCAGTCTTGTCTACTAGCTCACACATAGGATGAAATCTACTGAAGTTAAAGGTGCCACTATTGGGGTTTTGCAAGGAGGATATCAATGTTTGAAAGGCTAACCTTACTAAGGCCCTAAAAATAAAGGGAAATATATTAGAATAACAAAAATATCTTTGGCACCTACTCATAAATTTGTCAGCCTACATCATAATCCTTTTGCACCTTAAAGATATGATGTTAAAGCTTTCTTATCTAGAGGAAAGCTAATCAAAAGGCCAAGGAAGAAAATAAATATTGAGCTGAGAGTCAACAATCATTGCAAAATAATTGCTTGGTCAACAAAACTAGATGCTATAAGTGATTATTCTTACTTGCAAGAAATTTGAAAATCTGGTAAAAATGAGTGGCTCTACTGCCAAGGTAAAATGATTCTTCTAGACTCAAGAACATTAAGTCTCAACCACTAAGGAGAAGAGAACCAAGATTATATCTAATAGAACACATAAAATTCTGAATGGTTTGAAAGAAGGAAGCTTAGTGAGGAGAACATATGACATGCTTAAAATAATTGAGATCAATAGAGCTCTAATTAGAAAGTTACCAACTATTGTGGTAGCCCATTACCAGCCAAACAAGTTTGATATAGTGAACATCAGGGTGTGGCTCTTTCGCCACGTGTATGCTTATTCACTTTTGAAAGGCCCGTCAAAAGGGATATTCAGCCTCAATAAAACTCATCAAGTGTACTGGATCCATAAAAAGAGAATCCTCATTGTTGAATCTCATGATGGTTGACACATTGAAAATTTTATCAAGGGATCCCATCATGAGTTAGCTTCAGCCCTTCTTGAAGAGGGGTTGTCAAATGAAAGTCGATAGGAGTCAACTTCACTTGCTCCCCACACTCCATTATAAGCAGATCTACATTTCCTGTTGGAAGAGGGGTTATAAAATGCAAACCATTAGGAGAGCTTTGGCTGCTTCTCACTCTCCATTACAAGCAGATGTATAATTCCCATTGGAAAGAAGATATAATTATCTACTAAAGGGGCTTAAATGAAGAGGATGCATGACTACTAACAAAGGTTTTCCAAAAAAAAAAAAAAAAAAAAAAAAAAAAAAAAAAAAACTAAAATCAAGTTTTAGATACTATGGTCTTAAAAAAATAGCTCTTTCATTTCATTTGATTTCAATAATAATAACTATAACAAATTGTTTTATTTTTTTATTTATGATCATACAAAAATAGAAATTTAATAAACAAAATGACGCAATGGAGAAAAATGATTCATGTAGCCGATCTCACATAGTGGGATTAAAGCTTTGTTGTTTTTGTTGTTGTTGTTATAAGTACTTGTCACTTGATGCTTAAATCTACAAACGTGAGGAATATATAAACATAATATATTTATAACTTACTTATAAAATTTATTATTCATCTATCAAAACAATGTTGAGCTTCTATTTTTTTTCTTGCCAAACCTACCAAGCTTACCTTGCATGCATCTTTTGATATTTTAATTTTTAGCTTGCTTACTTTTCAAGAAGTTTATTTTTTAACAATCTTACACAAGCTTGATTTGTGAATTTAAAACTACTTCATAACCTCACAAAAATTTCTTACTTGAGTTGTTTAGAAATATTGTCTATTGCTTAATCTTGAGGTAACACTTACTTTAACTCATCTTTCTCTTTTCTTATATTACATTCTCTTATATAAGAATAATGAGTGTTAATGTATTTTTATTAGATAGGACAAGATTATACTCAAAGAGGATTTTTTTCTGTTACTACTATTTATCTCGGTTGGCTTAATAAATGAAATTAATGTTAAAATTTGTGATAGTAATTATTATTTTTCCTTTTTATATCCAAGTGAAGATAGTATCTTTTATGAAGCCTACAAATCTATTGGGTTTATTTTATCATCCAAATTATCATTCTATTCTATATATGATACGCCTAAAAATGTACTATTTTTCATGCATTATTTTATAATGATATTGCACTTTAAAGGTATGTTTTATTATTTTTTTGGTTGTAGATACATCAAATTGAAGAATTTGGAGTAATTGAAGTAAAAGGAACAAAAAAGGACCAAAACACAGCAAAAAGAAGCAAATCGGGTCGAATCGGGGCACACCGGAGCCAAGGGACCTAAATCAAACACTTAAGT